GTCCCTGACCCGCCTCTGCACCAAGTGGCTGCTTTCCCATCGAGGGGAAGAGAAGGGTGCTGACAAACCCAAGGCTTACAGGGCTCCTCCCCAGCAGCTGCAGAAGTTCAGGGTTAAGTACACAGGCATGCTTCATCGTCTCCCGGTTTTCCATCCCCACTGATGGACCCGGCAGGGAATCTGAGCCATCCTCTGACTGCCCGAGCACTGTGACCCTTGCAGCAGTGGAGGTGGGGGTAGACAGTACCCCCATAGCACCCTGGCTCCCAGGACGCTCCCTGCTGATTGCTCCCTTTTCCTACCAGCTGATGAACGCAGTGAGCACACTGGACAGAGACGTCCTCAACCAGCTGCACGTGCAGCTCACGGAGCTGAGGAGCTGCAAGGGCTACAAGCAGTGCAACCCCCGAACCCGAAACATGGACCTGGGTGAGCAGGGGCCCAGCATGGGGCCTGCAGGGAAGAGCCCATATCAGGGCTGCCCCAAAAGTGAGAGCAGGATTACGGGGAGGTAGATGAGTCAGGATACATGATGGGGGAAGTCACAGACACCTTCTGGCTTTCCCGGAGCCGAGAACCTCAACAGTCCACACAGGACACAACTGTCTCTTCTACCTTTTCTTCCCTGCTGTTCATCCGGGATTTACTAAGAATTCAACCCTGTGAGTTCCTAGGCAGCAAATGTATGACCAAGATGTGCGGGTGCTCAGGGCACGGGTCTATAAAGGCAGGGACATGCAATGCCATTGTGCTCGTCACTGGGGCTCTGCGACAGATCAGGGGTGACCACTGCAGAGGAGGAAACATACACACGTCCAGTGTGGCTGGAACAGGGTGGTGGAGAGTACCATGTGACAGGCAGGCTCTGCAGGCCACAGAGAAAAGGTTAGGCTTTGAGATGGTTTGGGGAGCTAACGGAAGGGTTTACACCTGGGCAGGGAAAGTCCACATTTAAAAAAAAAAAAAAAAAAAAAAGACAATGTGCGAGTGCCAGGTGCAGTGGCGCACGCCTGTGATCCCAGCGCTCTGGGAGGCAGAGGCAGGCGGATCTCTGTGAATCGAGGCCAGCCTGGTCTACAAAGCAAGTCCAGGACAGCCAAGGCTACACAGAGAAACCCTGTCCCAAAATAAATAAACAAAAAATTAAAAAAGACAGCCATTACTAAGTAGAGGAGGAAGCTGGATCAGTAAACAGTGGCATACAACACGGATATCCAGGCAGACTGTAGCTGGGGATGAGGGTTGATGATGGATCTGAGGTGCAGTGCTAAAGTCACACATGGTAATTCAAGGTGAGAACAGAAAAGGAGGTGGCCCAGGCTACCCCTGGATTTGGGGGATAGCTGGGTAAAACCAGCAGTTCTAAGCTCAGGATGCCAGCTAGCTGTTTTGGTTTTTTGAGACAGAGTCTGAGTAGCCTTGAGGTTGTCCTGGAACTCACTCTGTAGACTAGGCTGGCCTCAGAGAGAACTGCCTGCCTCTGCCTCCCAAGGGATGGGATTAAAGGCGTGCTCTACTGCCTGGCCAGCTAGATGTTTTCTGAGGAGGAAGTTATGTGCTTATTAGGCACAGCCAAGTGTAGCGGGAACCTCAAAGTCCTTGGTCACTGAATGCCTAGGAGCGTCTACCTGTTTGCACTAAGATGCCTCCAGTTCCTATCAGAAAGTGGGAGGTTGAGACAGGCCCAGGTGTGCCAGTGTGCTTCATGAGGGGGGGGGGGGGGGCGGCGGGGAGGGAGAGGTGGCCAGAGTGGCTGCAGAGGAGCAACAGAAACCACCTGACCCTACCCTCAAGTGCTACTTTGTGATGGTTGTGCAATCTCATGGAATGTGCCAAGCACGGTGCCAGATGATGTGTGAGAATTCTCAAGGCAGCCCTGAGGTGACTAATCCCAGTGAACCCCCTGGCTGACCCCACGAGCATGCACTTGGCCACACCACCGTATCCTCAGGGATTCAGAGTGCAACCACACCCCCCAAGCCCTGTGTGGCACTAGTACCCACATCTGGGCCTGCTTCCCCACCACTAAGGCAACTGTGAATGAAGGCTCATGCATACCGTGGCAAACTGGGGTTAGCAGAAGGCAGTCTACAAGGCCACCAAGCAGACTAAAGGTCTTCATCATTCATCCACTCTGCCTGAGCAAGGAACACTAGCAGCATCCTGGCACGGGCATATGAGAAGCCGAAGGTGGTTGTCTTCCATGGTGACCACAAAGCTTGCAGATGCTTGTACCATCACCCTAAACTGTTCTATTCTGTTCATCTCTCACTTAGGGGTTAAAGATGGAGGAAGCTATGAGCAATACAGGTATTTGGTTTTGTTACTAAAGTTTGGGCTAAGTTCCCCCCTCTTGACTTGTCCTGCGTGTTTTTTACGATTGTATTTATTGAGAAACTGTCTACTAGGCTATAATGGCCCATAAGTGATAGCTGTTGCCTCAGACGCCATCTTTGCATAGTTCTTGAGGGGGGAGGGAAAAACTAAATATCCTCAATGGTGGTTGACACACATTTTCCTTTTGGCATCTGAAAATTTAGGCAGTTTCAGCGTCGAAAATGGCCAGATATGAAGAGACCTTCCTCCAAATCACTGTGAGTGAAAGAACCAGTTTTCGGATAAGCAGAATTGGTTCAGAATTGCTAATTTCAGGTTTTGTTGCTGCTGTTATCTGGCTTTTTGTTTTTCCCAATACTGGCAGTTGAAGCCAGGTACCACTTATACCAGGCAAAAGCTCTAACACCGAACTTCCCCCCCAGCCCTGATGTTTCCTTTCTCCAAGGCTGTTCTTCATGCATGCCGTATCTTTATTGCCCTCTGCTCCCCTGCTAAGAGTGGACAAAGTCATAGCTGCTTTTCCTATGATATGAATACATTTTGTATTTCACATTAATAGCTGATCCTAATAGATTGTTGTTCTCTGTGTAACGATCTGTAAGCTATGACTTAGAGCTGAGAGGCGGCTAAGTAGTGCCGCTACCAGGCAGCTTGAAGGATGTGGCTGCAGAAGCGCTGACAGTGTGTGCCCTTCTCAACAGAATGGCTGTCACTGCCATGTGCAGACTGCAGCAACCTGCAGTTCACCTCATGTCTAATGGGGGCAGCCAGTCTGTTCCCAAGGGCTCTAGATACAGCTTTGCCAGATTCTCTCAAAAATGCAAACGTCTGAAAATTCACTTTAATGCTGGCAGCTCATCTGTCCCCTCATTGCAGTAACCCACCCTGGCCTACCCTCCTCCCTCTTCATGCATTCGAACCTCTGCAGCTTTACGAGGACAGTGATCACGGCCAGCTTCCCGAACATGCATCTCAAATCCTTAGCCACAGTTCTACCCAGGCCTTAGGCACTTCTTTCTATCGGCCACAGACAGTGTGGGGCTGACGGTAAGTCCGGACAGCATGGTAACCGAAGGCTCAGAGTGTGCTTTGTTCTGCAGGGGACAGCTGTGGGAAGGCTGGGAAGGTTAATCGGCCATAAGGAGGAACCTCCCAAACCAGAGGCCTTGTGTGGCTGCCCAGGCCATGCAAAAACCACAGCACACCAGTGCTCCAACTGGGAGGCCTGACAGGAGGCAGGGCCTACTCTTGGGACAGGAAATCCTGGAGGACAACACTCAGACTTCCCAAGGCCCATTTTTTACTGCCCTGCTTCGCTTTGGATCAAATCTCACCAGCTGCACAGAAGGCATTCTCATGTGTGGAACCTCTGCCCGCCCTCTCAGAGGCTCACAAGGACAAAGGACCTGACTTCCATGGACATTACCTCCAGGGATGAAAATTGCTGGGATTTCCCCCCAATCGTATAGGGAAACAAGCTTGTTTTAACCTTCTTATTCTTTGGAGAAAGCACGGATATGGGCAACTCCCGGGTGCTGCCAACAGCAAGTCTGACAATGAGTCAATAGCACAAAAACCGTCCCATTCACCTGGCTGGATGACCCGGCTGCCTCAAGCTGCCTTCACTGTACATCTGTGACCGCTCACATGTAACAAACCCAGGGACCTTTTAGGGGAATCTCACTAATCCGAAAGAGTCGTGGTGTCAATAAACGCTGTGGCCAGTGTCAATGAAAACCCCTTGAGGTTGTGGACATTTCTGTTCCTGCCCAGGATTCATTTCTTTGTTATCATTCCCAGAACTGATGTTTTCTAAGGTACTGAATACCCACATTGATGTGTGTCCTGTGTTTTAATGACATTGTATTTGTAAAGAAATTTTGTAGTATAAGTACCACCTTACAGTGTTCACACCCCCAGCCAATGACTAGCTATTGGTATGAAAAAAAAAAAAAAAAAATCTTTGAATTTTTGTAAAAGGCTACCTTGGGACTTTTTTGCTGGCTTTTATTTTTTACTTTTTCTTTAAGCACTCAAGATGTTGTCAATGCCTTTGGGAAGGGCACACCTTCAGCCAAGAAAGTTTGGAGAAGCAGAGGGTTGTACGTTAATACTAAGCCTACCATGCTTCAAGGGGGCCTCCCAGGTAAGTAACCAGCTCGGGGGCATTTATCTGTAAAGTCTGTTTCTCAAAAGCGAGGCATTCACCTCAGTCAGTCCTTTGTTAGACCAAGCACGGTGACCTGGTCCACATGGCTGCCAGAATGCTAGGTGGGTGGAGGCGGAAGGCTCAACCCAACCCAGGACTCTCAGCAGAGGGCACTTGCATTTGTCTAAACCAGTGGTGTGCAATATAACATCCCCTTTCACAGGGGTCACCTAAGGCCACGGAAAACAGATATTTACACTAGTATCCACAACACAAAATTACAGATATGGTTATGAAGTAGCAGCAAAAATGATTTTGTGGTTGGGGGTCACCTCATTAGGAAGGTTGAGACCCGCTGCGCTAAACGGTCCCACAGTTTCCAAATGCCTCAGACGGGCCCAGGCTCCTAGGAGAAGGAACTGTTTCGACCTCACGGACACTGGCTGTCCTTCTTCCTTGTCCTTCTTTTGCCCCTGTCCTGAGTGTGTAGAGGAGAGGAAAAGCATGCTTAGGCTGAGGTTTAAATAGAAACCTTTATTTACAAGAGCATCCAGACAGTCGGCAAAGCTCGCTCCAGCTGAGTCACCCACATGGTTTCCATTCCTTGCAGTATGAAAGAATGACTTCATTTTAAGTGACACTTAATATAAACTTGATTAAATCCAAATTTGTTCTCAGTGGTGTCAGTCAGTTCCTGAGAATTTACTGCTCTCAGAATGACATTTCCATCTTCTTCAAAATTCCATGTATTCAAAGGGAAGAGAAAAAGGGAGGAGGCAGAAAGAAACAAAACACCGCCCTGTTTTTAGTCGCCTGCACTGGAGGTGAAACGACCCCTGTGGCTTCGTGGCAGGGCCCACAGTCTGAGGTAGCCTAGAGGTTTGCTCCTGCTAACACCCCACTTGGAAACAACTCACGGCCGCCACAGACAGAAAGGGACTAGGCTGGCGTGTGGGGAACTGGTGACCCTCTGCATGGTCCAGCAGACCCAAGACATTTCTGGGCTTATCAAGCCAATTATCTTCCACAGTACCCACTGCTGCATGGCCCCAACTCATGTCCTGTTTAACCCTGATGAACTGAGTAGAGCTGTTCATGGCGGGGGCACAATTTAGAGAGAAAGCGCTCAACAGCAACAGTAAGCTTCATTTATTTTTGAAGAAACATGTTCCCTTAATATCACTTTGATCTTCATAAAATATATTTTTATTTATATATCTTTGGATTCAGCAAAAAAGTAGGTACTGGAAATGTCTCACATCATAAAAGCAGATGAAAAGATTACTTATACTGTTCGCCCCAAAGACACCTAGGTTTAAAGAGGGGCCAGGGAGGGGGAGGAGGTGAGGTAGGCAAGAGGAATACAAAGAGAATGATCCAAAAAAGATTAAAGGGCAATCCAGGTAAAAACAGCAAATTATCCTCAAGACTACTAAAAGAAACTCACAATTTTGAATTTGCACCAATAAAAATCAGTAAGTAGAAAATATAAAAACATAATAAACTTCATTTTCTCCCCATACAAAAAGGAGGTGGCCAACCAGTCAGCCTGGAGTTGGGACGCTGAGGAAAGAATCACAAAGTTGGGTTTTAGATGTCTTTAAAAGTTAAAGGGCAGGAGCACCACTGTAGCCTACACACACAGTCTAAGCAAGGAAGGCTCAGCCCAACTCAGACTTGAGGTGTCACCTGCAAACCAAAGGATACAATGGAAGTTTACGGATTTACAACCCGGAACAGTGGGTCAGTCACAGGGGAAGCCCGTCATACCTAAACACGCCGGAAGTCAAGTCCACACAGATGTGGCTCTGGAAATGCAAGCTTCACTTGTTCATAGACAGGTCACAGAATGAAGTGATACTCCCCCTCCAGGAGATGGAGAACTACTGGCTAACTGTGTGGGTTTTAAAAATTAACTGGCTCTCAGAAAATGACACCGAGGCTGGCAGAGATCCGAAAGCTACAGATAGTCTGATAACCCAATTCCACTTAATTGTCCGAACCGAAGAAAACCCAAATAAAGGGCATTACACTTGGTTTTCCACTACTCCAAACTGACTAGAAGAGGTGCCAAGAAGAGTTGAGAGAATTGGGGGGAGGGGCTGTAGAGGGTGTGGAGGCCCTCACTCTGCCTCGAGCACTGGCAGACCTGGTTCTGCGCTCAGCACCCTGATGCAGAGAGGTAGTAAGAGACCCCATGAGCAGAACAACAGGAGAGCTGAGCAGACACCAGACCACACAGCAAAGGACCCAGGGTCTTCAATATCTAAATGTGGGGCTCAGGTCCTAGCAACAGAAATCACCCCTAAAATGATGAATGAGCTACATACTCAAATTTTCCAAAACTATTATTGTTTAATTTATGGACTGCTTTAAAAAACACAAGATTTTTTTTTTTAAAATCAATTTGCTTCATTTCTTTTTTTGTTTTTTTAATTCTTGGTTTTTGTTTTTAAAAGCTCATTTCCCCATATCTATTCTTTCCCCCCAAATTAACAAAGTGCGTAGTTCTCTGGTAAAGAAATTTTTTAAAAATTTAAATGCCTACATCTAAACAAATAATTACTTTTAAAAGCCTTTAAATTAAGAGACTGAAGAGTGAGGCCTCTAAAGCAAGGGGGAAAAGCTTCAGGCTGCCCTTCCTCCCCAGGCTCCGGCATTCCAGGTGTCTCCTCTGCTTGTAGCCTCACTGCATGGAGCTTACAGAAATTGACAATGTTAAATATTTAGCTTCACAAACTCTGTAAAAATGAGCTGCTGTGACCTACAAAAAAAAGAGGTATGTACATATTTTCACATAATACAATATTTTAAAAGATCATATTTACAAAAGAAGAAGTCTATTCACAGAGACACTGCGAGCTTCTGATCCAGAGTGCAGTACCTGGCCTTGGGTTTCACAAGTTTATTTCAAAGCATTATTGCTCTACCATATAGGCAAAGGGTGACGCCAGTACTTAAACAAACAGAAAAGAATCATGTTCTTGTCCTGACAGACTAGTGCAGACAAAAACCAGGAATGTGGTTCACCATTCCTCAGGCCCTCAAGAATATTGCATTTCTCCGTGACTTCTTAAGTAAAGTGCACTTGGCTGCACGTTAGCATGGGAAAATTAAATATTGTCATCTCATTTTCCCTTCTTCTGCAAAGCCATTTAACATTAATGACAAATCCTTGAGAATTCAGGGTGTGGGGACCTCATCAAGGACAGACTCTGGGGACTACACCTGGAAAGGACAAGAGCAGAAACACTGATTCCACTGGACAGAAGGGCAACACAGAGCTACTTGCTGACAGAACACTTGAAGGCAGGCTGTGCTCCTCGTCCAGTGCTACAAGACAGAAACCTAGCCACCTAGATTTATGTGAAGACTTTGGCTGGCGAGGCAGAAGGAAATGACACGAGAGAGTGGTGCCCACTAACACCCCTATCTCCAGAATCACGTCCTCATGAGGCAGAACACCATGCCACAGAGGCAGGGCATCAATAAGGTAGACAGTGGGCTTCAGCTTGACCCAGTTCCGCTCAAATGGCAGCACTCGGAACACCCAGTGGTGGTCAGACTGGCCCTTGCTTCCAAGCTGGGTGCCTAGACAGTGACACCCAGACAGTTACCTCCCGATGACCATGTGCAGGGCCATCTGTACAGTGACTTCCGTATCAGTCCCACTGGGGAGGTGTCAGCAGTATTTCTGTTAACAAAAGAACACAGGCTCAGCACAGCAGAACACCATCCTCCATCTCTACACACTGCCACACACCGCTGGCTGACTCCGACTCTTTCCAATCCACTCCAACACAAACGTGGAACAGCTCGGGGCCTTCAAACAAACACTTTTCAAAACACTGCTTTTTGTGTCACCACAGACCACTTTGCCTGTCAGGGTTCTGGGTATAAACAAAGAAGGAAAAATACTTGGAGAGAGGTAAGAATAGATGTCATACCTGGTCAGGACCCATGGGCATGCCAGACATGGGCATGGGGGTCATGTTCATCTGTCCCAAGTGACCACTGCTGTTCATGTGCACCATATTGTACGCGGCAGGGTTCCCCTGGGGGGCAAACTGCTGCTGGGGAAAGGAGCTGCAAAGAAAGGGTAATGTTGCTTCCGAATCAATTCAGACTACATGGCACAGACTGTCACAATTTTAGCAAATGTTCCCCTACCTAAGCAGAAAGCAACTTTTTATTTTTTGCTTTGTTATCATTTGAGACAAGATCTCTCTATACCTCTGGCTGTCCTGGAGTTCCCTATGTAAACCAAGCTGGCCCCCAACTCACAGAGATCCTCCTGCCTCTGCCTCCCAAGTTTGGGATTAAAGGAAATGCAACACCACACCCGGCCTGAGAAAAAAAAAAACTTGTCAGCCTGCCTGCCTTCTACTTTTCAAAACTGTCAGGTCTCAGTATGCTCATAGATACGGGCATGATATAACCTCAAAACAAGCCATATGCCTCACTTCTAACTCAGGGCAAGCCTTGTGATCTCTCTTCATCCAGTAAGTGTGACTGAGAAACAGGTTCACAGCTCCAGAAAGAGGATGCAAAAGTAGTCACACTCCTTACCTGTTCCTGGCCAGGTTCCCTGACGGCCACCCCTTCATTTCTGAGGACTGATACATGGGTGCAGTCTGAGGATGCTGCACCATTGCATTCTGGGAAGGCCCCATTCTTGATGACATCATTGCACTGGGAGGACTGGATACTCGACCAAAGGCTGGATCTGGTGGTTGTCCCATTCCTTGAAGAAGTAAATAAAAATCTGTGTTCAAATTCTGTGTCCTGGGAATATCAGCATCCTAGCATCACCTAGGATGGCAGAGGATGTTGAGGAAAGGACACCAAGGGTACAAAGTAGCTGCTCTGGTTGTTCTTGCTTCTCACCAGGATGACAAAGCCATGGGTTTAGCAAGAAAGATGCCATCTAGAGCAACTTGGAAGGCAGCTGTTCTATGACCTCCTGTGAGAAAGACTCCTTTCCAGAGGGCAGGGCCACATGCTGAAATGCAAGCTACATGCTGGGCACTCTCCAAGCAAGACACCTTTATCCCAGTCTATCCCAGAACCTCCTCAAAGGTGGGGCTGTTACTACAGTCACAGTAAGTGCCCACGTCACTGAGGAAAGCAGACCGAGAAGCCCACACTTGGGCTCTGTCCCTCTGGCTAGAGTGTCTAGAGAACACAGCATTCTTCGCCACTGGATCACAAAGAACAGGAAGAGGAAGGCTTATGTAATCTTTTTCAGGTAAGGGGGAAGGTGCTGGGGCAGAAAAATTGCCCAATTGTGACAGAACACACACACACTCTCTCTCCCCATCACTGTGGTACACTCTAGCTCTCTGCTGCTCTGTTAGTTTTCCTGACAAACAAGATAGAGTGAGCAGTATTTTGTTTTCACACATCACAGACCTAGTGGAACTTGTGGCCTTAATAGCATTACTTCGGGAAGGCATACTCTGTCTGGCTTACCATAGTTTGCTGGATATGGAAACTGCTGTGGGGGGGCTTGTGGCATTGTTGATCCTGCCAAAACCCCATCCATGCTGGGGGAAGCCGTGACATTGGGAGGTGGGCTGAAAGCCTGAGGCTGCGGCTGTGACATCATCATCGCCATTCTCTGCTGTTGCAGGTGATGGTTCATCAGCTCTCGTTTTTGCTGGGCAGCCATTTGGGCATTAAAGAAGGCCTGCTGAAAGCCAAGAGATGCACAATTACACTTAATTTCATACTGTGCCCCACAACACATGTGCTACCAAAGAGAGAAGCACTGAGTATCTTCTCTGTAATCAAAGGAAAATACACAAAAATGGTTCTTTACACAGTTAGCACGTCTTCGAATGTATTTATACATTCTCAAAAATCTCAGGTTATCTCACAGTACAGCAACTCATCACAAAGGGAACCAATCTGGGTAAGTTTTCTGGTGGTTTAATGACATAACCCTTCTCCCCAACCCTTTATCATTTACAAAGCAGAGAAAGACTAAAAGAGAAAACACAAGGCTGTAGAAATGCTCAGAAGCTAAGAGCACTGGCTGCTCTTCCAGAGGACCTGAGTTCAATTCCCAGCACCCACACAGCAGCCCACAGCCATCTGCCACTCTAGTCCCAGGAGATCTCACATCCTCTTCTGGCTTCCGTGGGCATCAGGCATGCTCATGATGCACAGATATCTATGCAGGTAACACACTTATAAATATTAAAAAAAAAAAATTGAGTAGGATAGAACCAATTCTTATAAGAACCTGAGAGGACTTATTCTGACTTGTTTAATAAGCTTGGGCTGAGGAACAGACAGAGCCCAGCCTGGGCGGGAATGTACAGCGGTTAGGAGCTTACCTGGGGCATCATGGGCCTCATCACAGCAGCAGCACCAGTGGGGTTTTCCATCTTCATTTCAAGTGCCTGCCGGCTCTGATTCAGAAACTAAACACAGATGGGTTAGTAGGGTCAAGTGGGGTGTGTTAATGAGCCCAAATCAGCTCTGCAAACTTCTACCACCACCCAGTGGGACCATCTCTCCAAACCCACTGAGCTGGGATACCTCATCTAAACTGAGCACCATCATTTACACTCTGAGAGATGGCTCAGCAGCTAGGAGCACCTACATGGTGGCTCACACTTGCCACTACCTCCAGCTGTACGAGTCCCACACCTCTGGCCTCTGCAGGCACACGTGTATGTATGTATGCTCACAAGCATGCAAACACACCATTTAAAATAAAGTACACCTTTAAAAAGCATGCCAAAGAAATGCTGACAAGCCCTTCCCCAACTGTTAAGGCTTTGTTTGGCACAAAGAATAACTATGCAGCTCAAACACCATGCAAGAGGAGCTCAACGGACCCACAATGTCAGGTTTCTCCAGGGTTGTTCACACTTTCATATGAGTCGACACACACTCAAATAACTTTCATATGAGTCGACAATAATGAGCATTTAACATAAAGAAATATGAAACAGTACCATGAGCATAGGCACACAGCTTCCCCAGTTCTAAGCCCACTTGAGAAACAGCCATGGCCTGCTCAGCTACTTAAGTGACCTAGTGCTGCCATCCATAAGCACACTTGTCAAACAGTTTGTGCAACCACAGGAACAATTACATTTTAAAACACCTGAGGATTATTAAGGAAACACTGAAAGAAAGAGAAATTCTATTTAAAATGCTAATTCTTAAAAAGAGTCTGTGTGTAAGTTTGTGCACGAGTGAAGTTTTCCAGGTCAGAAAGAAGAAGATGTAGATCCCCTGGAACTATAATTACACTGTGAGTTACCCAAAGTGGGTGTGGGTGCCAGGAACTCCATATATGTGCATGTCTTCAGCCCCTAAATACTAAAAGCTTTACAAAATAGCAAGAAGCGGTTTCCATTAAAATGCTGAATCAACAAGGGTGGTAGCACTTGCCTGCAATGCCAGTATGTGAGGTTGAGGCAGGAGGATTACAAGTTCAAAGCCTATCACCTGGGCACCTAGCAAACAAAAAGCTGAAATCAAGGTTTAAGTATTTGGTCATCATACAGGAAATGCCTTCCAAGGACTGTCAAGACATGCTGTTTCTCCAGCATGATTTCTCATGTTTTTGTTGTTGCTGTTGCGTGCACCACTGCGCTCAGCTGATTTTTGATGTTTTAACCTGTTTTGTTCTGTCTGAAACAGGGTCTCACTGTGTAGTCCTGGCCGGCCTGTAGAACTCGCAGAAATTCACTTGCCTCTCCCTCCCAAGTGCTTGGATTAAAGATATACACTAAGTAGGGAGTGACTCCAAGATTTAAACCAGGTTGCCTGGCTTGCTTGGGAAAGTACTTTTACCCACTGAGCTGTTTTTTTTTGGTTTGGTTTGGTTTTGGTTTTGGTTTTCAAGACAAGGTTTCTCTATATAGCCTTGGCTGTCCCGACTTGCTTTGTAGACCAGGCTGGCCTACAAAGTGCTAGCCTCCTAGCCTCCCAGAGTGCTAGGATTACAGGTGTACACCACCATGCCCAGCTCCCATTGACCTGTTTTACCACTGCTAATGTTGCATCACAGACTGTATTTATAGAAAGATATCTGATTTTAACACACACTCCTTAACAAGGGACTATCTGCATAAACAAAATCTTACAGTGAAGTGAAAGCAAAAGGAATTTCTTCAATTAGCAAAGAGTGGAGAGCCAATGGCAGGAACCCTAAAAACAGCCTAAAAGCCACTCAACTGGCTTACCTGCTGGCCCTGCAGCCTCTGCTGAAGCTGCATCCTCAGCTGCTTCGGGGCATTTGTCCTTGGTCTCACGATGCTGGCCCTAGGATGCATGCCTTGGAGAGGAAAGCTGCCTTGCTGGCTTATCTGACTCATCATGGAGTTAAAAGATGGTGACTGTCCCTGAAGGTTAAAGCCTCCTTGCATTGGAGGACCCTGGGCTGGGTATGTCTGTCCATATAGTGCTGCCTTCTGCTCCATCATTACTGCCGCTTCTTGCCCTTGAAAAACATCCTGTTTGGACTCCAAAGCTTGTCCCTTAAACAAACACAAATGAATAGTGAGTTACATCTGAGAGAGCAACCAAAAGCAAACTTTCCAAACAAGGCAAGAAGTGATGGTCACCCATCACTCTTCCTCAAGAGGCCGGCGCTAGGGGTCAGGCATCGATTCTCTACCTGCAATGGATGACAAAAAATAAAACTGATGTGTTCCAATGGAGGGCAGAAGAGTGTCTCAGGTGCACTGTGCACCTTTGCCTTCTCCTGGGCCCCAAATCCAAGAACACAGTCATCAGCCTCGTGCTGCAACCCTGCTGTGCCACCCACACTGCTGTACCGACTCTCCTACTCCAGCCTTTCCTTTCATCGCATACACAAACAAGTTTTTCCAGTTTTCCTCTTCTCTTGCCATACTTCCTGAGAGCTCTTAGACATAAAGGATAATTAGCTATCGAATTATGCTTTCCACCCCAAACATCTCTGAACTCATTTGGCTTATGGAAATGAATTCTTAACATCCATATTTATCTGGGTGTCCCCAGCACCTCAAACTTAGTTAGTATACAGAAACAGAAATCAAACTTTTACAACTCCTCCATTTCCCCACAAGAAAACTGCTTTCCTCAAGTCCCCCCTTCCCCAGGACCCCTTCCTTGTATGTAAGGGTATATCCATTCACGCAGACTTCTCAGGGTTATCTCCCTGCTGTTCACATCTTTCCATCTTTGTACTCCATCCCCAGACTCCCAAGGGTTCTTGTAGGAACTGGCATTTGTGCTCCTCCTTTGTCTTGACATTCCAACCCTGCTCACTCCAAACACTGACATCTTTAATAAGGCAGTTGTATGTTATGTTGAACAGGGCACACTGACTATGCATTAGCCTCCTTTCTCTTGCCCACTCTACTAAAATGAATGAAGAATTTAGAACGTTCTGAGAACCAACCTAACCCTCTGGTCAATATAGTATAATCAAAATTTAGCCAGATATTCAAGGCTCCTTTATCCAGCCTCTGCCAGCCACTCTGTTAAAGCCACCTGCATTCCTAGACAATTTCTCCATTCCTGGAGGTATTTATTTAGCATTTTCTACATTTCCTGTTTGGATCTTACCTCCTCTCTGATCCAGACATCATACTGTAAATACCTATTATCTTGACTGTTTTCGTAACATTTTCATTTCACTTTTATTGTTGTGGCGTGTGCAGGATGTCTGTGTGTACCACAGTGCATGGGTGGAGGTCAGAGACAGCTTAGTGGAACTGGTTCTCTCCTTCCATCTACATGTGGGCCTTTCCATGAGTTTCAGGGACCAAACTCTTGGTGCCAGTTTGGGCCAGCACAAGAGAGCAATATTCTGTGGTTTGACCACCTTGTCCCTTGTCATTTATGGCTATTTTTATAGATGTATTAATATCATTTAATTGCTTTCCAGCTAACAACTCAGCTTCTAGGATTTTTCCCAGCATTTTACTGTCCTAAATTACTGTGGGTTTAAACACGATTTTGAAGAATTTGATGAGGTTTGTTTGTTTGTTTGTTTGTTTGTTTGTTTGTTTGTTTTGGGGGGATGGATTTGTTTTGGTTTTCAGATAGGGTTTCTCTATGTGGCCCTGGATGTTCTAGAACTCACTTTGTAGACCAGGCTGGCCTGGAACTCAGAGATCAGCCTCCTCAGTGCTAGGATTAAAGGTGTGTGCCACCATGCCCAGCAACATTCTTAAACTGAGAATAAAACTAAAACTGAGCCACTCAGAAAGAGTATGACAAACCGCTGGCAACATGTGCTACCCAGCATTTAGGATTATCACACTGCACATGGCCGGCCTGGAGATATAAGTACTAAAAGGATTGGGCATGAGCTCTATGCCTCCATGAAACCAAAGAGCTCAGCCAGAACCAGCATGCCAGGAGATCCTGAATATTCTTATATACCAACAAAATTAAAACTACAAAAACAAAGATAAATGGCCAATAAACATGACAAGATAATCAAGCTTGCAAAGAAATACAGTGAGTCTCAGTAATTTCTTTTACCTATCATATCAGTAAATATCCTTTTAATATATTCACGCTGTTATTTGTGTGGTCACTTGCCTAAGGCACACAGCACAACAATGCTGAGAGAGGAAGAAATGAAACTACTCCTCCAGAACATCAGCTACTACCACACTCTTTTCTGAGACAAGGTCCTGGTGTGATGGGCCAGCCTGACTCCATTTTAAGATTAACAGCAGGTCAAAATAAGTTCCTGTAGAACTTGGGTTTGACCATGTCTTGACCCTTTGTTTGGTAATTTGGCATGTTCCACACCCTCTATCCTAACCTCCACCCCAATATGACAGTCTGTCAAATAATTCTGAAATGTTCTGCCTATTCCTACATAACTAAAAACCCTTGAAAGCCCCCTTGCCTTGAAGTTTTGAGGCTAATATAAACCCCACTTTCTCCTCTGTTCAATGCTATTTTTTTTTCAAACCCCACTTTAGGGAAACAGCCCTGTCAGGAAGAAAACAAAGCTTACTTAATCTGACTGAAGAACTTGGGGAAAAGTCTTTACTGCTCTCATTTGGTGGGATTAACATATGCTGGCCAGTCTTTTAATTCCTGGATCATGTGATTTTTTTTTCCTGACTTAGCTTCCAGAGCAACTGGGACATATAACCTGGGTCACTCTCGGTCTTTCAAGGACACACTCTCTAAATACCTCACTTTTCTTTTATGGCAGAAAGAGACATGCTAAATTCTCATTAGCTGAGTGCTAGATAGCATCCACTACAACATGAGTCACACATGCAGAGCCCACAAGGCTGAGGGTGGCCTGATACACAGAGTGAGCTCCACAGAGTGAGGCCCATGAAAACTGACACCCTTGGGTGTTTATACATGCACTGTTTTAAATTTTAAAATTTATGTCCACAACTTACTAACAATGCCCTCTTTTACTGCTCATAGGGGGTTTTAAGGCTGTTCTCTAGATTCTTTCCATTGGTCAGAATTTGTTTTTGTTGTTGTTTGGGTTTTTCAGATAGGGTCGCACTGTGTAACTCTGGAAGGCCCAGAACTTGCTGCTATATACACCAGGCTTGCCTTGAACTCAAGAGATCTGCCAACTTCTGACTCCCAGAGCGCTGGAACTGAAGGCAAGCACTACCACACTTGGTGTCTTTATCAGATTTTAGATAGAAACTTATAACCAGAAAGTGGGGAGGAGTACAACAGACCAAGTTCAGCTGCTCTTCAGCAACAGGGCCAGGTGTCACCCTATGCAGACACACACATCCATCTACCTCTGCCTCCCCAGTGCTGGGATTAAGGGCATATGGCACCACCATCTGGCTAAAATAATATTTTTTAAACAAACTAAAGTTGAACTAAAAAACTTAAGTAAGCAGTATTTTTAAAACCGTGCAGTGATTTCATCAGATCTTTTCTTTGGCTGCAGTAAAACAAAAGACAATTACGCACACCTTCTCACAAGTGGTACAAAGGTACACACAGTCTTGTTTGAAGCTTGTGTCTGCCTTCACGAACATGAAAACATACTCACTGGCACTCTCTTCCAGTTCCACATTAACTGCAGCTCACCTGACTCACAAGTTCAGGAATGCCCAGGGCCCTGTCAATTTCCTCCAGGCCTGTGGCATCCGTGTTGCTCAGGAGTGTGTGCAGCTGGTCCAGCAGAGCTCTCTCGTCACTCTGGCCTTCAGGGTTAGAGGGTGGCCCAAGCAGATCATCCAGAGAATTTCTAAGAAGGGGCCTAGAGAGAGACTTGAGTCAGCTGTAATGCTGCTGGACTGGGGCTGATGAGGATCTATGTTCCATTACAAGGACCACAAGAAAGCAAAAGGAAAAATTTAATGGTGTTCTTTTGTTATTATTATTTTTGTTTACGCTTTTAAGTTTTCGGAGAGTCTTGCTAAACCTTAACCTAACTTCAAGCTCACATCTACCAATCTCTCCTGCTTAGTGCTAAATGGTGAAACTTATACAGTGTCCACACTGACACCAAAGTAAAAATAACCACTACACGATGCCTCTGTTTCAGCTGTTCTCTGACCTCTGCAGAAACATAACTTTTTAAAAAAATTGTGCGCTGGGCTAGAGAAATGGCTCAGAGTTAAGAGCACTGGCTGTTCTTCCAGAGGCCCTGTGTTCAATTCCCAGCAACCACATGGTGGCTCACAACCATCTATAATGAGATCTGGTGCCCTCTTCTGGTGTGCAGGTGTATAAGCAGGCAGAACACTGTATACATAATAAATGAATAAATTTTTTAAAAAAGTTGTGCGCAGGGGACATTGCTTAGTGGTCGGTTATTAAACAAATTAAAAATACAGAATGAACTACAATCTTTTCTTTTGTTAAAAAAACAATTAAAAGATACAACAGTTCACTCTGAGCCTTACCACTGAAATGTTTTAGATGACTTTACAAAATAATTATCGATTATTAAAAGCTAATTTTCAGGGGCAAGAGAGAAGCCTCAGGGGTTAGGGATTCAGTTCCTAGCACCCACATGGAGGCTCACAAAAAAGTGTTGTAACTCCACTTACAGGGTATCTGATGCCCTCCATGAACACACATGATGCACAGACATACATGAAGGCAGAACACTCATACACATTTTTAAAAATAAGTAAATCTTTTAGATTTTTTCAAAAAAATTGAGGCACAGGATCTGAATGCCACTTATAAACCAGTGAGAACATGTCTTTACCAACTGCTGCCGATGCTTATCTCCTCAGGAGATTGCTGTTACAAAAGGCAATGGCCTCATAGAAAAGCCCTTTGGAAGTCTTGAAGGCTGAGTTGTAGGTCTGCCTCCTCCCCTTCCAGATGCCTCTGCTTACTGCACCAGCAGATGGCAAACAGCTATAACATTTCTCATATCCTCTTTCAGCACTGTTCCTGCTCAGACTCTTCAATCCAATGCAAACATTCCCACAGCACAAAATAAAGGCCTACCTATTTTGAGTCCCATGAGGACCTTGTTCCATAGACAGCATGCCCTCTGGCCAGGAACTCGGTTGATTAGATGGTACTGCTTGGCCATAGGGGTTGACCCCCATTCCCATGGGAACCTCACCAGTTCCTGGGGGAACAAAACCAGAGGATGAATTTTCAAAGAAGCCAACAGTAAAAATGACCACAAAACATGTTCTTTTCAGCCCAGTGGTGGCGGCCCACAACTGCAGGTGGATCTCGGAATTCTCAAGGCCAGCCTGGTCTACAGAGTGAGTTCCAAGACAGCCAAGACACAGAGAAACCTTGTCTTGAACCCCCGAAACACACCCCAAGAAAGCAGTTTTCATTTTTTATTGAAAGGGGCAGCTTACTCATTTGAAGCATCTGCTGCTGCTGTGGCTGCTGCTGCTGCTGCTGTTGTTGCTGCTGTTGCAACTGCAAAGTTGGTCTTGTGCCTGGTAGTCTATTAGAGCGAAGAGGCAAGGTAGGCACTGAGCCCCCCATGGCAGGTCTTGGTAAAGTGGCACTGTAGTCTCCTCCTGCTCTTCCCAGAGGACTTGAAGCCAGAGGTTCCATTCTGCTGGCCCTTGAGTTAACTAAGGCCCAGTCTCCTGAAGAAGCAGCTGGGTTCACAGGAACATTTCTGTTTGGTCCTCCTAAAATAGGTAGAGCTCATTAGATCTTACCAGAGCATAACAAAAGCCCTTCTTGCATTAGGAGAACCATTATATACAACCGTGGCTGGGACAGCACTGTCCTCCTTAGAGCAGGGCTGGCCAACTATGAATATAGTATCTAGAAATCTCTACTCCCGCATACTCATTACAGGTTAGAAAGGTGGCCTAAACCAGGGGAATATTTAAGAGTTTAAATAATCAAAACATAAAACAAAGGAGAGACAGCCTGGAAAAAAGCAATATATTAATTTAAGATATTAAAGTTCTTGATTTCAATGTTTAAATGTTTTTTGGCAATTTAAATTAGTCCTCAAGGAAATCACTACCCTTAGAAATAACCTACCCATATTGGCACTATAATTCTCCTGACTATCCATCATTCTTGGATTCCCAGCCAGTATGGGCTGTTTTGGTAGCATGGGGAAAGGACTGACATTCTTCACTGGAGGACCTGAGACAACAGAAACAGGGCTATCTAGAGACACCGCTCGGTTATATGGAGGACGCACAGGCTGCACAGGCTGTGGACTTCGCAAACCTGTTGAAAACACAGAAGTGTACCACATTATTTTCTTTGCTGACTCAATATTTAAATAAGTGCAAGAAACAAACACCACTAACCCCACACAAAACATCTTTCTCATTAAAAAAAAAAAAAAAAAAAAAAAAAAAAAACTATTTTTTTCTTTTACAAAATAAATAGTTATGCCAAAAAGAAAGAAAGCCCAAATTCCAAATAAAGTACAAACAACAATCTGCATGTTATAGCCTAATACGGTCTTGCACGATGTTCCCCTCAGAGTGCCAGGTCACAGGCTGTGAGCAGCATGGCTCATGTTTTTAACAAGTGTGAATCCCTGGGTACAGATCCCCAGATCCCCAGCCACACAAAGCAAGAGGGAAAATGGAGAGAAAACACACCAAAGTTTTTAATTCCTAGAGATTCTTCCATATGTGTACTTATGAAGTATATGCTCTACTTACAATTTTACAATAAAAATTACCAGTTAATCTGCCTTCCAATCAAATAGAGAATAAATGTAAATTTTCTTCCCAATCTTTTTCTTGTCTTTTTCCAACCTCTTTCACTAATCTAACTATCCATTACAGTTTAGGAAATAGTACACTTGAAAACAATGAGACCCTGTCTCAAAGAAAAGAAAGAAAGAAAAAGAAAGTAACTTCTGGGTGTGATGGCTACGCCATTAGTCTCAGCACTAATGGCAGAGGCAAATGAATCTGTGATTTCAAGGCCAGGACTACCCTTTCTCAAAAAAAGAAAAAGGAGAGGAAGAGAGAATGATGAAAAAGATAGAAAGAAAAAAGAAGGTGGAGAAAAAGGGAGGGTAAAAGTAAATGACTATAATTATTCTCTTTTAGCTAATACAACACACCCTTGATAAAATAATGAAAAAAGATACTACAAGACAGAAGCATTCGTGTAAAGAACAAGGAACAATGAGAAACCTCTCAAGGTTAAATAATAAAATTCTTTAAGCACCAAAACTGACATGTATTTAATCCAGTTTAAGTCTTTTAATCCAATTCTTTACATTTAAGAAAAATATCTGCCCACAGACCCAGATATAGATTCGCTAAGTATCATGGTTACTGGCTCATCAATTAGAAGGGGAAAGATGAAAGAGACCAGTGTGATAGATAGCAGCCAGGACACCTGCTACCTACCAAGCCTGACCATCTACTTTTCGCCCCACCAACAGGACCCACATGGTAGAAGGGGAGATGCAGCTTCCACATGTTGTCCTTTGACCACCCATATGCTGCAGCAAAGGCGTGCAGGCACACACATTCAAAATTAAATTAAATGTCATTTTTAAAAGGGAAGAGGGAGCAGGAAAATAACAACACAGACAGTATCAATGAGAGCAAGAAACTGGAAAGGCAGAGTATGTGTTCTGAAGTTACAAGCGCTGCTGATTCCTGGTCTTGATGTAAGAGAAAGTGCAACTGCTGAGAAGTTTCCAAACAAAAGCTGGCAGGGCACATGGGACATGTCTGAGTGTCAGTCCTGGGGCACGGAGTTAAGAGGTTAAGTCCCTGGCCAGCCTAGACTCCTCAGAAAGACCGTGTCTCAACCCCTCCCGCCCAACCTCACCCCTCACAAGAGAAAAACTTCGGTTCTTCCTTACCCAGAGAACTTGGTCCTGCAAACATCTGCTGTTTGGTCCCTTGATGACTGCCATTTGTAGGATTGTTGTAAAAGTCAGAACTAGTCAAATCACCAAGAATAGCATCTAGATTATCCAGGTCTCCAGATACCTGCAAACAAACCTTATAAAATTATTCTGCTTGTAATACCACATTGAACTATCAATCAAAAACAAACAAATGCAACAGCAGTGTCAGGTGTGGTGGTGTGCACTTTTAATCCCAGTACTCTGAGTTCCAGAACAGCCAGAAATAGACAGTGAGACTCTCTCCTTCTCGAAACAAAACAAGACATCAACGACAAAACAAACAAACAGCAGCAACAGAAACCCACTGCAGTTACCTGAAGTAGTAATGCCTGGGTCAAAGGCCGCTTCCCCATGACCTCCCTCATCTCCACCCTCACTGCAGGGTTGACCACTATTATGAATGACTAGACTCCCCTGCCAATGCAGCACTTTCTGCTCTGACATTTTCCCACAACAAGTAGCTGAGGAAGAATTCATCCTTAGCTGCAGAAACCTGAATCTACAAATAACTTTTCTAAGTGTTTAGCAAGGCATTCACAGAGTCATAGAGATGGACCCTGCTACGCAGACATGACAAAAGGAGGCCTGAGCCCTGTGGAGCCCTAGTCTTTCATCCTCCCTAGAATAAAGACTAGGGTTGGCAAGATGTTTTCGTAGAATGTGTTCACATGCATGAACTCTAACCCTTGTGCTATTAAATTCAAACTTTTCCTTAACCACCCAATCTGCTCATTCCAAAATAACCACTTTCATGAAAATACTTCAAACCGACCACTAAAAACTTATTTATGGGGCATCAAGATGGTTCTGCATGTAAAGATGCTTGCCGTGCAAACCTGACAACCGAACTTCAACCTCCACTCCCACAATGGAAGGCAAGTATGCATTAACCCCCATAATCACACACACTCTCTCATAAGCACACAAACACACAACACACCCACAAACAGTACCTATAATAAATAAAAGCTCAAGATTATCCTTAAATTCAAATCTAACAAGCCAGGTACACACACCTTTAGTCCCAGTACCCAGAAGGCAGAGGCAGGCAGATCTCTGAGTTTGGGGCAGAGAGCCGAGGCTACACAGAAACCCTGTCTCAAAAAAAAAAGAAGAAGAAGAAGAAAGAAGGAAGGAGGGAGGGAAGGAGGGAGGGAAAGGAAGGAAGGAAGGAAGGAAAGAGAACCTAACGATTTATACTGTGACCACATGGTATTTTCAACATGAAGAAACAAATGCTGGCTGGAACAGACAGTACTTTACCTCCCCACTCGTCTCCGTCTTAATTTTGGGCTCTTTCTCGTGGCTGGAGCTGGGGTTGGTAGAGCTGCTGCACTGACCCAGTTTACTGTCCCCTCCGTCTGCTTGGGGCTGCAGCTCTTTGGCAAGCACATCACTGGGGTCATCCCTGTCCAACAGGTATCTGAGAAGGGCATTATTCTCCTTCTTCTTAGGACTCAACTGCTCCTGCCTGACAGTCCCTTCTCCACAGGAAGTAGAACTGCTAGTGTCTTTCCCAGTGGCTTCTGCAGTGATCTTGGCGACCTCCGCTGGTGAGTTGCCATTCTGCAGCAGCTTGTGCAAAATTCGGTGTTTCTCTTGCAACAGAGACCCATGCACATTAGAGGTGGAAGACACTGCTCCCGATGTTGAGGAGGACACTCCAGAGGGGCTGGTGACACTAACGGAAGAGTCTTTGCAGTTTGAATCCCGGGGAGAGCTGGCCAAGGAGGAATGGCCTCGGTCGTCAGAGGAGCACGTGAGTAGCTGTAGCAGTTTCTTGTGGCCTTTGCTCTCCAGGGGACCCCTTTGAGTCTCTGACCCCTCCCCACCGTTCTCCTTGCTTTCTTTGTCACTGGGGTGATCTCTGCTATTTGACTGACACACCGAACTCTCCACTGGATTCTGTTCACAGTATAAGCCGAGGGGGCTTTTAGAATCCTGACTGCTAATTTTATTTGGTTGATTTATATTCATATTGGGAGAGTTATCCAATTTGGGACCTGGTGAAGACAGAGTAGATAAAAGAGAGGTTCCCACACCCTCACTGATGGCTTGCAAGGCACTGAGAGAGCTGCTGGAAAAGCTGTGACTCCCCGTAGTGCCAGAGGATCCCATGGGAGAGTGTACACCTGCAGTGAAAAAAAGATCAGGAAAGAGACTGTCAAACAGGCTAAGAACTTCAAAGCTCCTATTACAAAAAAAATGACAGTGGTACCTAAGTGACAGAAAAGTGGTACCTAAGAATGACAGAAAACCTAAGCGAAAGAAAGTGTTCCTGTGAGTACCTGCAACAGGAGAGAACTGGTGTGAGGCCATCTTTGGGCTCCCGCGGTTACGAGGAGAGATCATGATGTTTTGCTGGTTGGGGCCAAGGCCAGGACTGCTATGGGGGGGACTGCTCATGCTGAGCCCATAGCTGTTGTTCTGGTAGGAAGACGGTGATTGCAGGCTCTGTCCTGAGGTCAGCGAGGCCACGTTACTGGAAGGCCCGTACCTGGCTCCAGCCATCTGCCCCGGGTTGCCAGGGTCTGGCACGCCATATGTCCGGCTGGCCAACATCTGTACACTCTGATTTGGAGACATGCTCATGCCGCACCCTGCTGCAGGTCGAATGCCTTGTCCTGCAGGACTTGGGTTTGGTCTGTATCCATTCTGCTCTCTGCAAGAAACACATGGAGTTCTTATTTAGAAACCGCAGCAATGCATAAAGGGAAAGCAGAGAGCAGGAGAGAACTGCCCAAGGGCATACACTAAGTGTCACTCCAATACCAAGTGATTAGCCCAACTTAGGTGCTAATCACCAAGTCACCAGCAATACTCTACCTTGCATTTTTAGTTTTTAGATTTAATTTTATGTATATTGGTATTTTGCCTGCAATGTGTGTGTGTGTTCACAGGCATGCCTCCCACTGTGGAGGTCAGAAGAAGACATCAGATTTCCCTGGAACTGGAGCTCCAGATAGTTGTGAGCCACCATATGGGTGCTATGAATCAGATCCTCTGTGGGAAAAAGTGCTCTCAGCAACTGAGCCGTCTCTCCAGCCCCTCCCTTCCCTGGTTTTGTATAATATTGGGAGTTCAGAGTCTCCTGCAGGCTAAGCAAGTGCTCTAATCCACTAAGTTACCTGGGCTGACCTTGAATTCATTCATTAACTCAGTCAGTCCCCAGAACTTAAGATCCTGGTGCCTGAGTCTCCCATGTAGCTAAGATTACAGGTCTATATAGCATCAGGTCCAACTTTGTGGATTTGCTTATTTTGTTTGGTCTCTTGAGACGGGTCTAGCCTAGATTAGTTTCAAAATCACTTTTTTTTTTTTTTTCTGAGATGGGGTTTCTCTGTGTAATAGAGCCCTGGCTATCCTGGACTCTCTTTGTAGATCCGCCTGCCTCTAGAGTACTGGGACTAAAGGTTTCTTTAAACTTACCGTCCTGCCTCCACCTCCCAACTGCTGGGAGACATAGGAGTACACGGTCATACGTATCCAGTTTATACTGTGCTAGGAAGGAATTGAACCTGAGGCTCCATGCAAGGCAAGCATTTAACCAGATGAGCTGCGTCCTTCACAGTTTTAAATGAACCAGGAAATCTAAATGACTGACACCAGCACTGAGCAGCTCTAACAGCTGTGTGATCAGGAGCCTCTGAGGCCTCATTCTGGTTGACCGTACCTGTGCTTAACCTGGAAGGATGTGTCAATTCCTCAACACAATCAATGGAAGAACCTCTTCCTATGCACTTCATTTACCATTAATAACATCAGTAGTTACTACCCTTTACATGTATATTTTCCTTTTTATTCTAAAATCAGTCCCTGGAAGCAATGTAAATACATCACTAGAAATTAAAGGTAACAAGGTATCCACTATTCTCCCAACAGATCAACCCCCTCACCTTCATCCCCCCACACATACCCTGGCCTTACTCAGGAAGCAATTATTTAGTAGAAATACTAACTTCTGGATAAAAATATAATCTCAAAGAAAACACACCCTAGGAATCTAGATTTACTTCACCAAATTTAACAACTTTTCTCCCTGCATATCAACAGCAAAGCACCCTGAGGATGTGGTTCACTTAGTGTCATCACCTCTGAAGAAAGTGGGTTGAGACGAAGCCGTGACGATCATTCGTTACAGGATTGCGGAAAAGCTTGCTTTTTGTCTGCGCACTCACTATGGTTCCATCCGCCAATGAGAAGCGATACACTGGGGTCTCTGCGTGGCCATGGATATAAGCTATCAGGGAAAAGCATGGTGTTACTCGTATCTGAGCCTAGACCAATGCACACAGAAACAGATGAGAAAGAAGGAAGCGCACTTCATGTACAAAGCTTTGTAAACCATGTGGACATACACAAACATATAGAACAGCTATGCTCAAAAATCATTCCCTCTCCCACAGCCACCAAATAGCAAGACAAGGGCTGACCCCACAGTTGCGTGCTTTACAGAATCATACTACCAGCACCAAGGTCAATTCCACATGATTTTACCTTCTTGATAGTGTCGCTTCTGGGACCATGACTGCCCGTCATTCAGACTGAAGAACCTCTGGATACACCTTCGGATGGTGTCTTCAAAGCCAGGCCTCATGGATGATCTAAGTGAGTTTGTATCTATATTGACAACCTTTCCTATCAAAGATAAAAACAGGAGGTTCTAATGCTGCCCACAAGTGCCTACTGCTGCTCAGCTGGCGAGCACTTGAGAGTGACATGAAGCAGATAATCTCAGCTCTGCCTTCTGTCCTCCACACACAGCAGGATGCTGCTCTCAGTCTGCAAGTCCCGCTGGGGAATGAGAGACTGCACTGTCACCACAAGGCTGTAGGCGCAGCTCTTGGTAAGAGGCATGCTACATTGCTCTTCATGCACCTTTTAGAATGGACAAGTACTCTCGGGAAAAGTCATGGGGGAGACGGGTTTTTAAATGCTAGTCTCCAAAGAGCTTAAAGAAATTGTATTTGGCCGTACTTAGTGTTACTTAGAGGAGAAAATAAGGCTGTCAACTTGTCAGAGAAAGACAGTAAGAGTGAGGGCAAGTACTCAAGAGGCTGATTCTGAAAGATCAACTAACAAATAAGAATGTACATCACTGGGCTGTGGAGAGAGCTCAGTCACTGATGCGCTTGCCATGGAAACCCAAATTCATTCTCAGCACCCATGAAGACAGCTACGTGGAGAAGCACAAACTTGTAATCTCAGAGCGGAGGGGACAGAAAAAGAGGACCCCAGGCTAATCAGCCTGCAGAGCCAAATTAGGTTCAATGAGACTTTAAAAACAGGAGGGGATAAGGAGAGGGGCTAGAAAGTTGGCCCAGCAGTTAAGATTACCAGCTGCTCTTGCAGAGGACCGAGGTTCAACTCCCAGCACCCCTGTGGCAGCTCATGGCCACCTTTAACACATGGCCAACTATACACACGTTCATGCAGCTACAACACTCTCACACATAGAATAATTAAGGTGGATTTCTGTGGCCAAAACTTAGCAAATCGGGGTTGGGGATTTAGCTCAGTGGAAGAGTGATTGCCCTAGGTTCGCAAGGCCCTAGGTTTGGTCCTTGGCTCTGGGGAAAAAAAAATTAGCAAATCAAAGCTGAGATCCCAGCACTCAAGAGGCTGAAGCAGGATTCTACACAGGAGTTCCAGGCCAGCAAGGGCTACATTGTAAAACACCACCATGAATGAAGGAATGAATGAATGTAGAAGAAAAACAAAACAAAACAAGCATTACTTTCCAGGCTGCAGAGATTGCTCAGAGGTTGAAAGTGCAGGCTGCTCGCACAGGATGCAGCCCCCGCATGGCAACTCACAACCACTGTTACCTCCAGCTTCAGGAGGTCCAGTGCCCTCTTATGGTCTCAGGCGACGCCAGGCACACAGTGGTGTACAGACATACATCTAGGCCGACTGGTGGAGAGTACAAACTTCTCTACCTTGTCCCCTGAACCTCTACCTGTACTATGGGACAGGTGTACACACTGTGTTTAAGTAAATGGATTTTTCTTTGAAATTTCTTAGATTTTTCATTTTTTATATGTACATATATATATGTGTATGTGTGAATGTTTGCTACATCTGTACAAGTATCCAGAGGCCAAAAGGGATACTGGATCCCCTGGAGCTGGAGTTACAGATGGTTGAGATGTGCTCTTCATGGGTGCTGGAAACTGAACCTGAGTCCTCTGGAAAAAGCATAAAGCACTCTTAACCACTAAGCCATCTCTCTAGTTCCATAAATGAATGTTTTTATTTCACTTTTATTTTATGTACATTGATGTTTTACCTGGATGTATGTCTGTGTGAAGGTGTCAGGTCACCTGGAACTGGAGTTTACAGTCAGCTGTGAGACACTATGTGGGTGCTGGGAAATGAACCCAGGTCCTCTAGAAAAGCACTCAGTGCTCTCAACTGCTGAGCCATCTCTCCAGTCCCCAATGAATGTTTTTAGAAAATGCTATTTGGCCTGGTGATGGTGGTGTACACCATTAGTTCCAACACTGGGGAGGCAGAGACAGGCAGATCTCTGAGTTTGAGGAAAGCCTGGGCTACAAGTGAGTCCAGAACAGCAAGGGCTACACAGAGAAACCCTGTCTCGAAGAAGAGAAGAGAAAAGAGAAGGGAAGAGAAGAGAAAAAAAGAAAAGGAAAGGAAAAAGGAAAGGGGAAAGGGGGAAAAGAAGGGGCAAAGGGGAAAGGAAGGGGAGAAGGGGCAAAGGGGAAAAGGGAAAAAAGGGGGCAAAGGGGAAAAGGGAAAAAGGGGGAAAGGGGGAAAGGGGGAAAGGGGGGAAAGGGAAAGAGGAAAGAGGAAAAAGGAAAGGAAAGAAAAGACAAGACTTGCTATTTGAAGAAAGGGACAGGTGTCTTTATCTCTTAATTTTAAGTGGCATATATATTCAACTCAATTGCCAAGAGTCTTAGTGAAATTATTTTATGGTCATTTAATAAAAACAGGCTAAAAAAATAAAAAATAAACTATAGGACAGCTCTCAGCAGGTAAAACTGCTTGCTGATGACCTATGTTCCATGCTTGGAGCCCCTGGCAGAAAAATTGCCTCGTGCCAAGTGCACATACTCCTGTGCACACAGAATCAATAGAAACCGTTTCCAGGTTTTACCTGAAAGGTCGTGCCTGGTGATAAAGCTCTCGGGACTGGATGGGAAGGCCCTCTCTCCTGTAGTTACACGGCGTGCCACACAGATCATACAGCACTGCAAGTCTACAACAAAAGGTTCAGGTCAGGTCACAGTCAGTTGTCAGTCTTCAACAGGTGGGTGGGGACCCGACATGGATGAGACGGGCAGAGTGCATGCCTGACTCTTACCTTCCCCTTCTTCCAGCATGGCTCGAGGCTGAGATAGGGCAAAGCACTGCATCGTTTCGTATCTCTGGCGCATTTCAGGGCTGGTGTTCATGTCTTCCAAAATGTCATGTGTTTTCATCAACATACGACAATTAAATGTATGGCTTTTTTGTCTCTGGGTCTCATTAGTCCAAGAAACTCCATTAACTTTGAAAAACAAATTAGAATTTGAAAACAAATTGAAATTCTCTTTTACAAACCAGGTAAAACTCGGTCAAAGACTAACAAGAGTTCAAGCTAGGGTCGGGCCCAGAGTTGGGGCTTAGCACTTAAAAGCATTTGTTGCTCTTCCAGAGGACCTGGGGTTAGTTCCCAGAGGACCTGGGGTTAGTTCCCAGAGCCCACATGGTGGCTCAAAGTCATCCATTACTCCAGTTCCAAGGATCTAATGCACTCTTTGACCTCGGGAACACATATGATACACACACACGGTGCACATACACATATGATACACATATATACACAGAATGCACACACATATGTATGATACACACACACATGCAAGCAAAACACTCATCATACATATCAAATATTTAAAAATTAAAGCTAGGGGCTGGATGGATTGCTCAATGGTTAGGAACACTTGTCACTCTTCCCAAGACCCAGAGTTTGTTCCCAGGCAGCTCACAAGCACCCCTAACTCCAGCTCAAGATGACCTAACACCCTCTACTGGCCTCCAACAACACTGCAGTCACATGGCATACATTCACATAAATACATACACATAGAGCTTTTTTTATAGATACAAAATCTTTAAGAACCAAAGCTATAAACTGAGTGTGGCAGGGTGTGCTGCTAATCCAGCTACAACGAAGGCTGAAACAAAAAGACCGGAGAGCAGCCTGGGCAATACATGAGACCTTACATAGAAACAGAACAGAGTCCGGCCATGTCTTCTCACCACACAACTCCCATGTGGTGACAGCCGCATGTAACACTTCAGAACGACAACAGAGACACCTGAATAAGTTCAGCCTCACCAGGAGTCCCACTGAATATTTGGACCTCATGGAAAACTTTGAGTCTGCTGAAGCCATATCGAAAATGTTCCTGGCAATCACTTGTTAAATCTCAGTTCCTGGCTTCCTAAAAAGCACATTCAATTTCTTAAGAAATAACTAAGGAAGTTTAATTTGGAAAACACACATTTATATGCATATATAGGTGTGGTAGCACACACCTACAATTCCAGCACATAAGACAAGGAGGCAAAAACAGGAAGATCATAAATTCAAATCTAACCTGGACCACACAGACAGTGAGACAAGGTCTTTCTCTCAAATAAAATACAAAAAAATAAATAAACAAACAAAAACAAAACAAAAGCTCACCTGTGGATTTGGGTAAGTGTTTAAGGAAGTCCTTCCGGTCTTGCTCATGTAAGATGCTGTAGACACTTGTGTTAACCAGGTCCTCCTGCTTGTACTGCAGATACTGGGTGACATTTTCTGACACAAATACAATGTTTCCGTCTCGATTCACCACAAACAGAAAACCATCCAGTGCCTACAGTGGGATGTGTTAATACAGCCTATTATGAAAACTGTATCACCACAAAAGCACTAAAGCCCTTCCCCAACTTTTGCAAGGATTTGGGTGAGGGTTATATTTGGAGTCAATAATATTAAAGAGGACCCACTTCAATACAACTGGAGTCCTTAAAAGGACAGACTAAAAAGACACCAGAAAGGCATACTCAGAGAAAAGGCCATGTTAAGACATAGTAGCAAACCAAGGAGAGGGGACTCAGGGAGAGACCAACCCTGCCCTTGGACACCCTGATCTTGGACTGAGACACCTCCTCCATGATATTCTGTCACTGCAGTCTTAGCAGACTAGGACTATAGCCTTCTTCATATATAAAGCTTGAAGAGAGGGGAAAGCCCTAGACTAACAATTAGAGTGAACTGCAAACCATTGGTTCTATTAACATTAGTATGATTATTTCAGGGTATAAAAAAGAATTAAAAAAAAAAAAAAAGGCAAGGCAAGTAGGGAATGATATAGCACACACCTTGAACCCCAACATTCAGGAGGTGGAGGCAGGAATGGAGGTCACCCTAGACTATATAGCAGGTTCAAAGCCAGCCTGGGTTAACATTACACCCTGTCTTAAAAAAAAAAAAAAAAAAAGGCAAAAGAAAAAAAAAAAAAAAAACATTCTTAGTGCTCCCCAGTTCTCCATCCAAGTTAAGCTATAGGACTGGCCATACTGTTCCTGGACAAGAGTTTTAAATGGATGAACACAAAAGTAGTTGAAATGACTCACTGAAAGAAAGACCAGCTGTCAAGTAAACTTGCTGAAGCGCTCGTCGGCCTGAAGTAGACACTGCGCCATGGTTAATCAGCTCTTCTCAAGGTAATTACTTTACAAACATGCACATGTTTAATGTTTGAAAGTGCCTCCCAAGCTGGGGTTCAGCTCCCTCACAGAGCACTTGCCTAGCATGCATGAGGCCCTGGGCCCCCCTCCCCAGCACAGAGCTGGCGTTGAGAATGTCAGTGGTAACATGCTTGCCTGCTATGGCCACCCGCCCTGTGTGAGGCCTGGGTTCAGGCTCAAGCAGGACAAAGGAAAAAGTAAAACTGTGGGGTGCTATGCAAGCAATCATGGGAAACTTCCCAGAAGGCTGTTACTGACCTGTGAAACTACCAGCTACTCTATGGCAAAGAGCTCCTATATTTTCAGATTGTATACAGTGTTTAGACACTGTTATATGCAGTATGGAGAGGGGGTATTTTGTGATTGCTGTAAGAACACTGAGCTCTGCAGCTCGGCGGTTAAAAAAGCTATTTTCTCATTTCCAAAATCCCCTGTATCCACCCTATAAATATATACATGGTAAAACAACCAAGCACAGCACACTGCCATCCTTACACCCACCTGTAGTAGAAGCGGTCCTAACGAGTCTTTATCGATGACTCCCTGTCCTGTAGAAGACACATCAGCTTTCTGAACATCATCATCACTGGAAATAGTTTTTCCTGAAGACACAGACGAAAGCATCACAGTAAGCAGCACTCCCTCAGCCCTTACCTTCTCTCTCTCTCTCTCACACACACACACACACACACACACACACACACACACACACACACACACACACACACACACACTGGAGGTAGGAGCATGTCCACATACATGCAGAACACTCACTTCCTGATAAGAGAATGCCACAACTTAAAAATATGAAACTGCATGGTTTCCGGGGGGGGTAGAAGACACTCATCCACTTCCTGCTAACACTCTGGTGGTCTTTAGAGCCCAGCTTCCCTCCACCAGCATCTTGCGTGCTGAGGAGCACTCATCGCCAGTTCTGTCAGCTGTGTCCTAAAAAGCAAAGCTGGCCAACTCCCGGGACTCCGGGGTAGAGCTCCGTGATAGAGTCTTGCTTAGCGTGAGGCCCTACTCAGTTTCCCTGATACAAAATGACACATGTTAGAAGTTCCAAGGTCTTGGGTGTTTTTCTGGCTTTGTTTTACCTTGTTCTTTTATTTGACGGATCTGTCTCACTGTTTCCTTTAAAATCACACATTTATCTGGTTTGACGTTGAAATTGTCAATATCACTAAGGTTTGCGGATATGAGCTCAGCCAATTCTTCTATGTATTTGCTCTCCTGTTCCCGTCTCCACTTTTCACCACTGTAGGCAAGACTAAAAAGAGGGAGAAAGCCATGACTCACACCTCTCAAGAAAGCATTGAGCAGAACCTGCCCCATATTGTGCATTAATTTCATGTGGAAACAAACTGAACTAAACAAAAACTTTCAACTGTGGTGGCACAAAGCATATACTAGAAATTCCCACAGCCTCACTCAGCTCCACTGTGATCAACCCCAGCTCCTTCATCTGGAAGCAGAGACGAATCACCTACCCCTGTCCTGGAGGGTCACAAGGCAATTTGCGTTTTCGGGATTCAGTGGCCAGCGGATCCAAGGAGCTTTCACCTAGTCCACTCATTTTGACCGCAGATCAGCAACTACAAAAGAAGAGGTAACAGGATAAAAGCACTAAAATATGCATTTTTCTATGATGGTATCATATGTATTCTGTGGTCCGGAAGTACTTTCTTAGTCTATTTTGGTTATGAATGGGTATGTTCACGCAAGCTCAGAGCTCGGCTGCATTGTAATCATGCTGGGCATGGTGGTACAAGCCTTTCCCCCCAGCACTCTGAAGGCTAAGACAGGAAGATTCAGGATTCTGAGCAAGCAAGGATTTATACACAGCAAGTTCCAGGCCACTCCGGGCCCTATATCAACAATCATATCATAAAATTACATAAATATAAATATACAAAAATAAAGTATATTTAGTAAGAGACTATCAAGACTTCAATCTTGATACAATTCCGAATTTTACTTATATCCAAATAGAACACAGATAAGAAAAAAAAAAAAAAAAAGCTGACCCTGTGGTTTGGTAAGAACTCTTCAAGTGGAGAACCCAGACTAGACTATGCAAAATTTTTGTTTTTGTTTTCTGTGCATGAGTGTTTTGCCTGCATGTGTATATATGCCCATGTATGTGCAGTGCCCAGAGGCCAAAAGGAGGCATTAATCTCCTGGAGTTGGAGTTTAGCCGAGGTTATGATCCGCCATGTGGGTGTGCTAGCAACAGAGCCTGTCCTCCAGTCCACAGGCTCTTCCTAGGTCACATTTCTGTCCGCTGGATCATTTCTCTAATACTTACCACCTAATATCCCACTGTTAGGTCCAGACTATATAAACATGACTGTCAAACTCCCCTGCCTTCTATGTTAAGCATAGATGCAAAGCCTTACACACTTGTACATGACAGGGGTTGCCATAAGCCACAACATAATCACTGTTTACATACTGACTGGTGAAAAAATAATGTATCTTGGTTAAGTTTCAAACACTACGACGATAAGCACAGGGTATTTCTTCTTGAGTTTATATGGGAGGGTTCTATTAAGCCTCATTTACTAAGACTCTCATGTGTGCTGAACTCTCGAACATAACAATGGCCTAAAGAATCCCAAGTCCCAATGTTAAAATGTATCTAGCATTTCTGCCTACGAGACATATGTCCGCTAGGTGGCACAATACTACCAGAAAGCTAATTTTAAAAACCCACACATGATCAAACTTACAATATGTAGGTCATGTTTGTTTTGAGATAGGGCCTCATGGCCCAGACTGGCCTGGAACCCGTAGTTTCGGCTGGCTCTGAGTGCCTGATCTCCTGGCTCTGTTTCATACTGGGACTACAAGCAATTGCCCTCACATCTGCAGTCCCACACACCTTTGGAACCATCACATGGTTAATCAGGAGTGTCAGACTACAGCATCATGTAGACAGGCTAAACCGTCAAGTCCTTTTTATTAATTTATTTTTATTCACTTTACATCCTGGTTGTGGACCCCATTCCTCCTTCCCTCCTAGTCCCACCCTCCCTCTCTCAACCATCACCCCTCACCTATTCCTCAGAAAAAGGGAGCTCCCTTTCCCATCCACCTCAGCTCATCAAGTTGCATCAGGACTGAGCATGTCCTCTTCCCCTGTGGCCTGACAAAGCAGTCCCACCAGGAGGAAGTAATAAAAAAGCTAGTGAGTCCTTGTCCAATTTGATCCCCACTTCCCTTACTAGGGGACCCACTTGAAGCCTAAGCTGTCATCTGCTACATCTTTGTAAGAGGTCTATCTAGGTCCAGTTTATGCACAGTTCTTGGTGGATGCTTTGGTCGCAGCAAGTCCCTCTGGGCCCTGGTTAGTTGGTCCTGTTGGTCTTCTTGTGAAGACCCTGTCACCCACAGGTCCTTTTCTCTTTCCTCCACTTTTCACAAGACTTCCTAAGCATCACAAGTCTGGTTCTTTCAAGGACAGAACTACAACAAATCTAGCCACGTTACCAACTGGCTCTTCATGTGCTCCATTCAAAGATTATTTTTAAACTAAGCAGCAAATTGAGCAGCACTGAGCACTAGCATGTCTATTTTTACTTAATTTATTCCAGAATTCTACACAGCATCTTCTAGCCCTGATGTTAAACATGGGCTGAGCTGTAAATTCAAGTGGTGAACTGTCTGTGAAGAGACAGTTTGGTCTGTACTCTGCACACTAGGCCTGGCTTTGCTGTGAAACATAAGCCAGTGCATAGCACATAAGGTAGTTCATAAACAACACAAACAGTACAGAATGGAGTTCACAACACCTTTCCACTGTCAAAATCTAATCTGTTTCTATGTCACTCAGAAGGGTCATCTGTGACAAAATTCAAAATGAAGAAGAATCTGAAAGAGACTATGTAGACATACAAACACTATAGGTCATAGTCAAGCTTGGCCCCTGTTGAAGCTTGCATATTCATCATCATCAGTGGAGTAATACCAACTTACTGTACCTGAATACAAAGACTGACAGTTGCTGCCTCAAAAACCATTAAAGTTTGTTATATGGCTTAACCTTAACCAACTTCCCTTTTTTGTTATCTCAGGGTTCAGAAAAGAAAAAAGGCCTGCAAATTAGCCCCAGGCACTCCTCGACCAAAAGGAAGAAATACCGTAAGGGCTCAGAGGGCAGAAGTGCTTGCCTGTTCCTAGAAACCAGAGACCCATTGCTGGGACCCACAAGCTAGAAAGAGAACATGTGTGTTCTGCACTCCATACATGGACTGAGGCACGCTCGCACACAGAGGTCTACAAGTTTTTTTTAAAGGACTAAATGAAAATTATCAATAATGCTAGTGTTTTGTTTGAGCAAGTTATTTTAAAGCCTAAGGAAACCTTATGAGAGGGGGTAGGTTACCCAATGATAATAGCAGACTAGTTCAGTCTTTCCGTCTGCCTGGTTTAGTAAAGAGGAGGGAGTGGATGACAGCAGTGTGGCAGAGAACGTCTCAATGTGGTTAGTCACAATCACTGTCCCCACCCAACGCATGTGATTAGTTCTGTCTTACAGATAGGGAAGTGGCTAAATAGCCACTAGTACCATGACTAGATCCTGAATGGAAGAGCTATAACGACTCCATAACCAACAAAAGGCATGTTTCTTATCTCCTTTACCCCATTCATCCCCCCCCCCCATCACCAAATAAACAATGAATGTATGCCAGAAGTCACACCACCTCCAAGCAGGGAACGAAGACTCTAACATTTGCCGGTTAGGGCCACGAGGTAAAAAGGCCTGGGAAATAAGGGCTTACCTCCACAGGTACTACGTCTCCCCCCTACCCACTACTGCCCAAGACCTGGGCTAAGCCATACCCTGCCAGGTCTAACACTACCACCCTTACTTCTTCATGACATGTTTGTGTCTCAGAATAATATTTGTCTCGAAGAGGCACATTTTCAAACAGCACGTTCTGGTTGCCTGCAGCTGACAAACAGACCAGAAGGGATCCTATCAAGAAACTTCCATGCTGCACCACTGAAATGCATGGCATGACTCCTCTGTACCACAGAGCTTTTCCGAGCCTGATTCTGTAGTGCCAAGCACTGGGTGAAGCTGACCTTTCAAGTTAGATATATTTACTTTCAAATAGATAAAACTTCTTTATACAGTCTTTTTTGTTTGTTTTTGTGTTTTAGTTTGTTTGTTTGTCTCTGAGGCAAGGCATAGCCCTGGAACTCACTCTGTAGACCAGACTGGCCTTGAACCCCAGTGTTGGGATTAAAGGCGTGTGCCAAATCATTACACACGTTTTTAATCTACATTTATTCATCTCACCAATCACTCATCAGAAAAGTCATTCAGCAATGAAAGGGCACTCATGGTATGAGGATCAAGTTCATCAACATTATGTTTTCAGGTGGAAGCTCAAATTGTATCACTGACAATACCATAAGATGTCTCTAAAGTGCTATGTTTAACTAACTTGCTCTCAAATCATTGTCTGTTAAATATACAAATTTGAAAATCCATAGACTGTCAGTCACTGTTTCAATTAAAACCCAGTACTTTGGGGCTGGAGAGATGGCTCAGTGGTTCTTCCTGTCTGCTCTTTCAAAGGTCCTTCGGTCAATTCCCAGCAATCACATGGTGGCTTTGCCACCATATCTACAATGAGATATGCCCTCTTCTGGTATGCAGGCATACATGCAGACAGAGCACTCATATACATAAAATAAATAAATAAGACTTAAAGAATTTCTTGTGACTCAAAAAAAAAAAAAAAAAAAAGGTATTTTAAGCTGGGCGTGGTAGAGTGCACCTTTAATCCCTGCACTTGTGAGGCAGGAGCCAGCCTGGTCTAAAGGGAGAATAACAGGACAACCAGGGCTACACAGAGAAACCCTGTCTCGGGACTAGAGGGATGGCTCAGTGGCTAAGGGCCCTGGCTGTTCTTTCAGAGGACCAGGGTTCAACTCCCAGCACCCACATGGCAGCTCGCAACTGTCTGTGACTCTAGTTGCAATGGCTCTGACACCCTCACACCAATGCACATAAAACAAAGTTAAACTAAATAAATCAGAGAAACCCTGTCTCAAAAAAACAAAGAAAACAAACAAACAAACAAACAAACCAAAAAAAAGTATTTCAGGGGCTGGAGCAATGGATCAGAGATTAAAAGCACTGTCTGCTCTTCCAGAGGTCCTGAGTTCAATTCTCAGCAACCACATGGTGGCTCACAACCATCTATAATGAGATCTGATGCCCTGTTCTGATGAGAAGGCCTACATACATGTAGGCAGATATTGTATACATAATAAATAAATAATTTTTTTTTTTTAAGTATTTCAGGAGTTGGGAGAGATGGCTCAGTTAGGATCACTGGTTGCTTTGCCAGAGGACCTGGGTTCAATTCCCAAAACCCACATGGCAGCTTACAACTCCAGTTTCAGAGGATATGAAGCCCTCTTCTGACCTCCACAAGCACCAGGCATTCACATGACGCACAGACATGATGTGACGGCAAAACACCCATAAAGCAAAAAGTTAATAAATCTTAAGTGTTTCAGTACTGAGTAGATGGCTCAGCCAGTAAACCATTTGCCTGAACTCAAAACCTCAGCC